GGGCAGGTTACACACACAAAGTATATACTTTCCTGTTTGGATAACTGTTTTACTTTAATTGGTAAATCCAATAACAGAATGATGCAATGGTCCACACCTGTCAGTATAAGTAGTATAAGCTTTCCTTGAATATAATTGAGTATGATCTCTGACGTGAGATGTCAAACAACAATTGTGTTTTACCTGGTTCAAGTCAGGTACCACACACTACATTTGGTCTTTTTCTGTTGCTTGTTCTAGCAGTTAACAAACAAGAACAAAAAAGTCAGTCACTGACACACATTTAAATACTGACACTTAGTTATGAATTCTAACTTTTGTTGTCTTGTTGTATTACAACAAAGACTGCCTTCTTGTAGTATGTCAGATAACTGTATCCAGTCTTCTTATGTCACAAGTCTGTGTTTGATTTATTCTCTACTGAATGTTTTCTTTCAATCAACTTGTTATCTAAAGAAATAACAGCTAATCTTCTAGACAACAGTGTACCTGAAAACCTCACACAAAACAATAAAGAATATTTTGGTGCCACGACCAAGGATTTGCTATTATGGAGTTACAGACTGGGTGTGTTTCCTTGCTCCATTTGTACTATGTTGTGTGCCACTTATGTTTGTAATATTATGAGCACTGAAGATTACCTCTTGAGTTCAAGTACAATTTATGGTGGTAAATTAAGACCTGCTATTTCTAAGACATTAAAGAATGCTGTATTAGCTGAATTGCATGATTATCCAACTGAGGATCTTTTCGAAGCATAAAAAATAATAAAATGGAGCTTTTTGGCCTGGAATAACAAAATACATTAAAAATTGTGTTAGCATGTCATTTGTGCCAGATCATAAAGTTTGATAGAAAAAAAAATACCCGCAAGTCTGGTGAAGAGCACTAAAACAACTGAGCCTGCTGAGATTGTAGGTATTGATATAATGGGATGTTATAATGTAACATTTAAGGACAACAATGACCCTGTTGGTCCATCAAAGCTGTTCAATACACTCCTAAAATCAAACAACTCAAATCCAGTCTTGATCACTTAAATATTTATCAAGCCCTACCTTAAAATCATTCAAATTTACCACATCCACAACATGTGAATAAAACCCATTCCAAAGTTCAACTGCCCTATAAAAAAGGTAAAACTGTCTCCCTGAAGATGACTTTACCCTTCCAAAATTTATGTTTGTTTCCCCTCGTCCTAAAATTCTCACCAATAATGAAAAAAAAAGTGATGTATTAACACTATAAATTCCCTTGATTAAACATCTCAATTAGATCCTCTATAACTCTTCTTTTTTCAAGAGAAGACAATTTCAGAGATCTTAACTTGTCCTCGTATGACAACCTTTCTATCCCTGGTATCATCTTAATAGCCCTCCTCTGAACTCTTTTTAACAATTCAATGTCCTTCCTAATACAGTTTGATATTCTAAAGAACATGTTTAAGGAAGAAAATCATTACATTTTCATTATTCAATTACTTTATTACAACATGAAGAAGTACACTGTATACAAGAAAATGAATATCATATTGATAAATGACTACCTAGTTTTCAACTGTAAGAGAAAGGTATAATTGAGGCAAACATTGTATAGTAATGAGTAAATGTTACATTTTCACTGCAATCCATTTATCAAATATAAATGGTCACTTGGAGTTAAAGGTATTCTATAATATCTATTGCTCTCCAAAATAGTGATAATAAAGTAAAAATGTTCAGAAATCAGAATTATACATTCATCAATTTCAATATTACATATACATAATGTACATCATCATCAATATTGTAGTAATTAACTGCGTAAAAAGTTTACCTTTTCATCTGAAGTAATTATCATTATATCACATCTCCATCCAATAAGGCATCATATTACTCTAACTGGAAGTGTGTGATGTCACACAGGAGAAAAGAAAGGTATATGTTGAAATGAGATATGACAAAGCTATATGGATGCAATTACCCAACAGGTAATTATAGTATTTTGGCACTTGTGTATAAAGTTAAAATCATAAATAATATTCAACGTTAAACTAGTACATAGTTAAAAACAACTAATATTTTTAGGCCTATCTATGGCCTAAATAAAATGTTTTTAATTGTGTACCAGTTTAACGTTGAATATTATTTATGAT